AATTTCTTTACACAGTAAGTTTATTATTAATGCACTCCACATGGTCTCTAAGACACCATCCTGAACTTTTTACTCACAAAATATAGATAGACACAGATGCACACACAGAAACACGTGTACATGTATTAGTTACCATGTCCTGCATAGTCTATCATATTTTTGTATATGGTGGTACCTAGACATAGATTTTTGGGGTTATCAGTCATATCAGTCATTCCACTGTGTTTACAGGTGTTACTTGTAAGAACAAGGTGAGCAGGATTTGGCTTGTATTTGGGGATAATAGTGCCATCCTTGTCAAGTAGTTCAGTTCAGTTTTACGTTTGCAAAATTAATTTACCAGACCTTTGAGTCCAACCACCTTCACAAAGAATAAGCTCTATAGCCATTGTAGGTTCTTTTATGAAAGTACTTTGTGTTTTATTTATTCCTTCAAGATAATGATTTTGTCCATTTCATCTGATAAAATTATATCGGGGCCTGATCCTGTCACAGTTGTATACTTAAAACTTCAGTTAATGTCTGTGAGCCAAATCCTGCTCAGCTTACTCACATGGGTGTCACCTGGCCTGGTTGATTTTACTTCCCAGTTATAAATAAGAAGCAGATTCCTTATGGTTAATTGAGTCTTTAATATCCCCATAAAAAGCAGTATGAGGTCAAAATCAACTCTAGCAGGATTACATATACTCACAAAAAACTAGCCAGACTTCACTCAGTGGAAATCTTGGGCATACAGAGTAAGAATTGTGATTTATCAGAAGATGTTCCCATATCAAATTTCTCTGTTACAACATCTCTGTTCAAGAAATCCTGTAGCAGTTAAAAATTCTTGCGGTTTCCAAAAGATTTTCAACATCAACAACAGAGTAATGTGTCAGATAGGCTTTGTATGCCAGGAGACTCTTGTCCTTTCTGTTGCTCTTTTCTAGATTTAGCAAAATTCAACGGTGGTGCTAAATCTTTTTTTTTTTAACTTTCAAGGGAAAAAACACTGGTAAAATTATGTTTTCTAGGGAAGGCTGTGTGTGTAAATGAGAAACAGTGGATAGCAGTGGAGTGATCTCCTGTGGCCCTGCTAGTACAAGCTTTCCCCATATTGTCTCCTGCTTTTATATTAATTACAACTTGCATTATCAGCTGCGAGTGTGTAGCCCAGCAAATAGAAAATACTTTCCCTGGAGACATAGCTTCTTGTATCTATTTTCCATCTCCTTCTATTGTGCTCTACTCGGTATTCACTGCTTTTCTCCTAGTAACACTGCTCTTTAACACAATTAGGTAAGAGCAAGAGGAGTACCATATTTGACTCCCAATTATTAAAACTACTGGGAATAGATACAAGTGCGCTGTTCACTTTCTGTGGTATCTGGCACTAGTTTAGGTCATATGTGTGTGAAATCTTTATAGTATGCACACGTATACAAAATAGGCAATTGCATTTTGGCAGACATCATCCACACTCTTCAATGTGTTTCTGCAAAGTATATTACTAAACTTGCAAGAAGAAACAAGAAGCCACGCTAGCAGTTTGTGTAATTTATCTAAAGTTATCTGTTAGATTTATTTTTTCCTTCTTTTTTTCCCCCCCCAGTGTGATGACTTAATATAAATTTCATTGAAACTAACAGAAAAATTGCAACTAACATCAGCAGGCTTTAGGCCAGGATCTCTTTAGGTACCCAAACTGTACTGATAAAGTGTTTCCAGTGAAGCAAATTTTAGATGCGTCATTTGGTCCCGGTTTTGTTTTTTTTTTGTGAAGACACACATAAAGCAACTACTTACGATTAGTCATTTGGCCAAGAATTTTTTCATGAGGGATGCAAGGTTGGAAACAGTCTAGGGGAGAAAAAGAGAAGTTCGCTGGGATGTAACAATGATCTTAGTCCAAAGCAAAAGAATACTGCCTTTTTATGAGTGTGTAAACTCCACCCCCAGAATTATTTGTAATTTTTTATAATATTAAAGCCTAGCTATTTCCCTCCCTTTCAAATTCCTCCAATATTCTACTGTCACATCTAGTAAATATCTTATATTTTCTGTCCTTCAACAAAATTCTGCCAAATTGCTTCCTCAAGAAAACTGTGTCACAAGAAATACATTTAATTCCCAATCAATACAGTCAGTCTTTCTAAAACAGGATCTAAAAACTGAGGTCAAGAACAACTCAGCCTGGTAGAGACAGCAAGTGTTTTCAGCTGTGTGGGAAGTCTCCTTCAGTTATGGTTTTGAAACAGAAAGTCTGATCTAGCTTTTGAAATATTGTATGATAGGTTTTGATGACTTTTGCCTTAAAACATAGCTGAACTGTTATCAGTCAATTATTGTAATTTTCATATATGTGATAAGGAGCTCCAACAGCAGTTAATGTAAGAAAGCCTGCAGTACACAAAATTAGCATAACTCACGGTGTTCCCTGAAAAGTTTAGCCTAGGTGAACATGTTGCAATTATTACCTTTTCTAAAAAAAGGTTCCAGCATGATGCTGTTGGAGGGCTAAACTCATGCTATGCTATTGTTTCTTTCCTTTTTCATGTATTTCTTCTAGCTCTTTATCTGATTACCATCCGGCAAACAGCTGACGCTAAGAGGCTGCAGAGGGCTGAAGAGCTCCTGTCTGCTGTTTGCCTTCAGCTTGAAGCTATTTGAGTGGCTTCCTAACTCAGAGATAAAAAGAGAAGCTCATAGGCAGAACTGTGTTTTAATCCAAGCTGTAAAGAAACTTGCTCAGTTTTTGCATTTTATTTCCATCTGAACTTTTCGCTAACCTTATTTTCAACTTTTTTGTTCTTTCTAATAACATCTGGGCTGATTCAGCTTTCAAGGCTTCTCATCTTTCTGTGTTTCTCTCCACCTGACTCTGTAAAATGATGGTAAAATGTGGTAGTTGGTTTGTTTGTTTGTTTTGTTTGGTTTTTTCTTTTTTTTTTTCATGAAATTGTGGGGGATTACAGTATTAATAGTGATTTCTGAGACTTAATATGATAACCTTGATGAATATAAAATCTTATTGTTTGGTGGCTTTTTTTCATGTTGTAATTCTGTGTGAGGAAAAGTAGATCAGTCTTCTAGGTTTTGGAGGGGGTGGTAATTTTGTGCCATAAGTGCTGTTGTGCTGACAGGTTATGCAAATTTCAGACCCTGACCTGTCTTCTGATTTTACTCCTATCTTCCTGCCATGGAACCATGTACGTGGGTGCATGTGTGTGTCTGTCTTTGTAAGGTGAAGGTGATTTGGATCCTTCTTACCCTTTGGTCACATGAGACTTTTCTGGGAACCTTTTGAAGTTATGGGCTCTTTCCTTTGTCTCTGCTGTGATCCGGGTCAGACCCGTCAGATTAATGTTACTGGGTATTGTAGCAAGCCGTTATTTGGCAGTTCTATTCTGCATTGCTATAGAGCATGTGGTACTAATCAGTGCTAGGAGATTACTTTGAGATGTTTCAGTATAGATTCTGGGACTTGGTCCCAATCACACTTACACTGTATTTTACAATGGGTAAATCAGTTGATTTTGTTGAACTTATTCCTACTACGCATTGGGGTAGATGAGGTCAGGATCAGTCCTGCTCAAAAAATTTATTCAAACTCGTCATCTGCTGTCTTCAGGTTCTCCTCATGCTTTAATAGTAGAGTATTATTTCACAATGCAGATTTAAAGCACAATCAAACCTAAGAAGCTTTCTTTTTTTTATTTTTTGAGGGGGGACTTATTGTTTGTTTCATTGTTGAATTATTATAACGCGCTCGATTAAAGTTGTCGCATACAGGTGACAAGTAACACAGGTCTTGCCCCTAGTCTGATCTGTTTCATGTGTTCTTGCTCTCCTTCTCTGCCAGAGGAAATTCCATCTCTTGCCTGCCTTCATGTGGTGCTGATAAAGCTCTTCCTGTACAGTAGAATTCCTGTTTTCCTTTAAGCAACAGCAGGGTATTGGGAATGATCAGGAAAGGGGAGGAGGACAGGAGGAGAATACACTCAACAAAGTAGCACTAAACTGTAACATTAACTTTTCCTCACTTATCCTTTTAAATAGCAGTTCCTTTCTCCGGGAAAGACAATACCCAATAAATTAGATAGTGTACTTGAATTATGTGACTAAAGTACAGTAGTTGAGGTCTTACTTAGCCAAGTTTTGCAAACTTTGTATGTCTGTCTTCTGTGTTCCCTTTTGTAGTGTTTTATGCATGGTAATGTAGAAAGAATTACATAAAAATCACTATACATGTTATTTTATATAATCACCTGGTGGTTATTTTTGACAATTCTTGTAAGCGAACTGTTAGAAAGATAATTCTAGAAAGTCTTTTGAAATGTGTCATATCAAGGTGGTGATGGGGGGTGGGGGATGAGGAAACATCTTTCCCAGTATATAACGTCTTTCAGGGAAAGCTTGCTTTTTCCCCTCACAACTTTGAATCTGTTGAAAGTTTTTCCAGTGTTTAAATGTGTGAGAGAGAGGGTAGGGAGTGAGGACATACTCCTCTCCCATGCATGTTTTCTTGTACTTCTTGAAACAGTTTCCCTCCTCTTCTCCCCTCACTGCTCTAGTCAGTCTATAAAAACAAAGTGTAAGAAGACAGTTTGCATAGCAACAATTTTGATCCTAATGAGAATAGCTAGTATCATAAACTGTGCAGGTTGATGCTCTCTCCTCCCACTACCCTGTAGAGCTCATTAAGAAACTTAATTTTTTTTCACTCCTGATGTATTCTTCTGCAGTACTACTCAAACAATTAAATCCAGACAACTCTTTGGAAAGCTTAAAAAAGAAAAAAAAATCTGTCCTGTGCTTAAACAAGTAAATCTTTGTATCTCCTCTGCTTGTCTTTGCTGAAGAATTATTACACTGTGCAAACAGTATTGGTGTTTGGCACATTTGACAAATGCTAATGTGTATACTTCCCCCCCCCCCTTCTCCTGGTTTTCTTTCTATTCTTCATTTGCTGTTGGAATGGGAACCGTGGAAAAAATTCCTTGGCACTCTGACACCAGAATCCTTCATCTTGGAGAGACCATGATGATGCAACCTCAACGCACTCAGCAGGCACACCAGGGCCCTCCAGCGGGGGCCACGCTTCCCAGAGTGGAGACAACAGCAGCGAGCAAGGTAAAAGGTCAAACTTTTTCCCTCCGCAAAGTAGGCATGACTAAAATAACTCCAGTTTTTTTCATTATATCAGTACATCTGCCTTAGAGTAAACATGGAGTGGCAGACTTGCAGTATAATCAGCTGTGACTTAGGGAGACGGTATTTCCTTTTCTTAACCCACTTAGCTGCATTTTATTGTTATTTCAAAGTGAAATATCTAATCTTCAAACAAGCTTTGTAATAACAATTGATTAGTTCTGCCAATTCCTTTACAAATTTGGTTATCTACAGTTTATTTTTGTGTGGTGTAAGTAAATATAATGACAGACATACTCTCCAGTTGCGGTGCAGTTGTTTGAGTTGGGTAATAGAGTTTAACGTGTAGTTTTAGCCGGGAAAGAAAATTCTATATGAAGTTATGAAGCTGCTAAATTATATGAAGTAGAAGAAAAACCTGAATTGGACACAAAAATGTTTCTTGCAATGTTTGCTTGTACGGACTTGTTTCTTCTTCTGAAAATCTGGATTTGAATGATAAACAGAGATGCACCTGAGCTGCAAAATCTCTGATATACCTATACAGTGAAACCTTCTCAAGGGTTCAGGAAGTTTGATTATTATTTCAGAATTTTTTGTTTTATTTCCTACTGCACCTTATGTGTGGTCATCTGTACCCATGCTGACTGAGTGTCAAAGGCTGTCATTTTGTTATGATAGTGTTTTACACTACTCGTTAGAAGAATAAGTGACTCCAGAAGGTGTAAGAATCAAGCCTCCAGTGCTAAAAGTTGGGTAATGATGGCCTGCTGTCACTCTTGGATCTTGATTCAGAGTTGTGGTTTTTTTCCCTTTTTTTTAAGACCAAAGTTTAAGGTGGACTCCATGCCTGTTTTTCTTTGTAAACATGGTAAGCTTCTGCTAGTGAGAGAGATATTACCTTTATAAGGTCTTATGATATGGTCCCACCATGAGATGTTTACTGTGCACCTGCAGTATTTTGCCTCTGTGTTTTCATCCACGTGCTTAGCAGAGCCAGCTGACAGGGCTGACATCCAACAAGCCATGCGGGATCCCAAAACTGTAGAGAGGAGAAGCCTTCAGGGCTAGAGCTGCCGTTATAGGTCTCATGCTGTGGACCACTTCTCACCATGATATTTGCCTCGCTTAGGTGGCAGAGCAGATATGTGTTTGCATGTCTGTCACGTGGCCCACTGCTTGGCACAGAGCTAGATTCCCTTGTCTGTCTTACGATCTGGTGTTGTACCCGTTGTAATTCTAGAAACTTGCAAAGTTTGTTTCTGGTAGAGTGGTTTGGTTTTGTCTCCTATTTGTAAGAATTGTTTATACATTTGTAATCTTATAGCTGATAGGAAGCAGTCATGGCACAGGGTGTGATCCAACTCCAACATAAGTCACAAGGCCTTTTTTCTATGAGGTTAGATGGGAGCTGTACAAGACCTAGCGTGAACCATTACAGATTCAGCAGCTAATGATGAAAGGGAGAGCTTGACTGCTAAACAGCATATTGGCGTTTATTAGCTGGCCACAGCTAATAAATAATAGCTATTTATGTCTATTAGCTGTCCGTAGGCTTTACTGCTGATCAAATGTTTACATGGTATATTGTGGTTAAGATGCTTGGTGTAGCAGATGATCATTTGCATACTTAAAAGTTATTCCTTTGAGTGGTCTACCACAGCATCTTCATTCCATCCATAGGTATGAAATTTCCACAGAACTGTATCTTCACTGTGCCTCAGTAACCCCTTAGAAATTAGAAAAGTTCCTTCGTTGAGCCATATAAAGAGATCCCTTGTATCAATATCCAGGGATCTTGCATTTCACTAGTCTCTGATCCCTTGTCATGTCACTCGTGGTGCTTGGGAAATATTGATAAGCATTAGAAAAAGCAGTTGATGACGACTACACCAACTTCCCATTGGAAACTGAGTTTTCTGCTTTAACAAATATGACTTTAACAAACCTGTTAGAGTCATTTCTGCAGAAGGGGAACAACCACTGAAGGGCCAAATCAGTTACTAGTGCTGCCCAGTCTATCACGGTAAAACATCTCTAGTATGCTTGCCCTAGTGCTCAGTTGGGCCTTTTAAAGGAAAGCAAACGTCCAGTGGTAAATCACTCTTCCACTCAGCTGCTGGCAACTAAAAGATGATTCTACCAGCAAAATTCCCATTGGAGATGGCTCTGGATTGCTCTCCCTCTCTCATTCCTGGAAAAGACTAAAGAGAGGGAGATACGTCTTGAATTTTCATTATGCTTCCTTGAGAGGGGTAGAGTTTACCTTATAATTTGTAAACTGGCAATGAGTTGGTCTCAAGATGAATAGATGCCCTCTTGAGCTATTCTGGTGCAGTTATTTGGGTCAACTTGGTTTCCTTGCAGTTTTGTCAAGAGCATCCACAAATGCTGCTTCAAGTTGCACTTGCTCCAAAGGATTTCTTGGAAATGGGAGCTCATTAGAGAGTCTTGTGTTACATTAGTAAATTACAGCCTTCTGCATTAAGGCCTGGTGGCAGCAGAGATTGATTCATATTAGAGTCTGTTCTGGCTTTTGAGAGAACTCTTTCCAGGGGTCTCTGCTTTTGCCTTAAGTCTATGATGTGAAGCTTGTGATTTTTTTCTCTTTTAATATTATTATTTTATTTTATTTTGGGAAGGTGGGGGGGAAGATGAAAAGGACTTGGGTTGAGTGATGACTGTCTTTTGCAGACTTTCTCTGCATGAGGTAGATCTATTTATTGTCTGGAAGAATCCATTCATAATTTTTAAAGTTTGAACCAAATAAAGAATGTTTAGACATTTTGTCTGTTTATGAGGACAGTCTCTCCATGACAGCGCATGGCTGCCCTTTGGCATCAAAAGGGTTAATATGGTCCATGTTTGGTATTATTAGAAACATGCTGGTACTGAAAGAGTTAAAGAAAGGGCCTTCAGGCAGTAAATGTTGAAAGATTATCCTAATTTTATTAGTGGTAAGTGTCTATGTTGTTCTTAACATGTCACCTCACTTGTTCAACAGAAAACTAAGCTATACAACATACTGATCATCTGACAAACCAAAGTAGTAGCAATCTGTAATCCAACAAGCATTTTTTGACTTTATCTCAGTTCAGATTCACAAATGCAAATCAATTCTGTGTAATACTATTTTAGAGATTAGAAGTTATGTAATAGGTCTGATCAACTTTCCCCCTGCTCTAGAAAGAGAAAGAGTTAAATATATCCAATAATAAAAATAAAACACTCTAAACATCTTACAAAAAGGAGAAGCTGATTTAATGGTCTAATGAGGCCATCTTCCAGAGACTTGTTTTGTGTAGGGCTTGCTTTGACCTTTTGCTTTGCTCAGGAGCCCAACGCTTCATTTTTCACATTCTTGCAATTACGTTAACGCTTCAAGCATTTCTGACTCCAAGTCAGCTAGCAACACCAGGCATAACTCAACACTGTGAGTTTTTCTCCTCTCTGTAGATTCATTAACAGGTCACCGGGGTCCCAACTGAAATTTAAAACTGACTGGTTCTGTTGGGTTAGCTGAGTTATAGCAAAGGAGATGGCAGGAAAGGGGGGTGAGAGAAGGGGAGAGGAGAGAGAAGACCCTGGTTTTGGCCAGGGAATATATGTGTAAAAACTCTAAGTGGAAGATTAAAAGGTGTGTGTAGCTTTATCATCCACCCTTTTCTTCGGAGAGGAAAAAACACATCTGAAAGTCTTCTGGGGTATTGTGTTTTCTTTATTCTTTGCGAAACAAAGTGAAAACAGCCCCTGCCTTCACATAAAAGGCTAAATGACTTCTAGAATTTGGCATCAGTTTATACCACAGTGATGGATGTGATGCTCCCAGTCTTTAATTCCTGTTTAATTTCTTTATGGATATTGCAAATAATGAATATGACAGATTATGCATGAAAAGTGAGAAATAAATCTTTTTAAGGTTTAAAAACATGTGGTCTATAGGAAAACACCAGGGAATAATTTCAGTTTCATATTTTATGGTACCAGGATTGTATACCTGCTTTGTCTTATTCGTAGTTCAGTCACTCAAAGGGCCTGATCCAGCCAAGTTGGAGGCTGTTTTCCTTCAGGACCTTTCAGGAAGGCCAGCATCTTTTTAGGATTAGACTTGGGTGACATACTTGATCATAAGTGAGAAGTCAGAGACAAGAAACCTTATAGGTTATAGGGCAGTAAAAATATAAAGGAGTATCATATCCACTTTACCCATGTGAGTGAGTAGCTCATTGATATGTGGGTTTTTTGGCTTAGTGGCTTTTTTTGATGGGACTACTTGTGCTGAATGATCTGGCCCTTTATAAATAATATCTGAGGCTACTCTCTAGGGCAAATCTCAAAGTAATTTTGAAGCACTTATGTGCAAGTTTGATGTTTGTCTCACAAATCTGCCCACAATAGCTTTCTTTGGTAAAGATTCCTAATCTGATTCAGGGCAAAGTCAACTAAAATACTAGCTGAAATTACACATTGATCACAGGTTAACTCTCTGGATTGATGCTTGTTGGAAAAATTAGGTAGTATATTTCTTATTCAGCAAATACAATCTTGTAATAACTATAGTATTAAATTTGTTTACAAAACTAACTGACAAAGCCCAAAGCCCAAATACTATTCTAGTATTGGAAACTACTAGAACTACATAAATCTTTGAGCCAAACTCCAGTTGTCAGAAAAAGGAGATAAATAGGCTGATGTTAGTAATAATTAAAAAATAACATATTCATGCAAAGTCTTTGGAAACTAATCCAAAAGCTAATGCTACAGCTTCTTTTTCTTAGTCCTGTAAATATGGTAAGCCTGTTGAAGCTAGTATGCATATTCATCATAATATTCAGAACATAATTTTCCTTTGTATTTTTACTTATAAAGGTATAGGGTATGGTTTTATTGGAAGAGAGCAGTCTTCTATAAGAAAGAAAATTCCTCATAGAAAGGCTCAAACATCCAGACTGTGAAAAATCAAACTTCCTATTAAATAATGC